AACCATGGACGCGAAGTTGATGGAGCCGTAGTTATTGGTATCACGTATCTGCCCTAATTATGAATGTGTACAATATAAGAGACCTTCCAAAAGATGAGACATGTCCCATAGCTTTGTGTAATTGGGTATTAGTTGATTAGGTGTGAATTCACGACTTCACCACCGTTTTTCAGTGGAATGGGAGATATAACAGCTGGACCAGGAGTGTTACAAGGCTTAAAATTTGGAGCGACTTTATTGCACATCCCCTCAATGACGCTTGTCGCTATGTTTCTATTGGTTTCAAGTGGCCTTGGTTTTGGGGGAAGATTTAACTGGTGAAATATTGTGATTTCATAGACATAACTCAGGCTCATACGTGAAAGAAAGTTATTATCCTGTAATAAGGAAAAGTTGTTCAGAAGCTAAGGAGGACGTTATTTTTCAGTTTATTTGTGTATATACTATTGTGCACCGAGTTGCATTGAGTTCTTAGTGCAACTGTATGTAACCGCATTTACATAAAGTGAAACGTTACGAATGCTCCTGTTTCTAGAATAAAAAACATTATTATTATCATCATTAAGTTTAGTAATGAAGAATGGAATTTCTTCAACGTCAATGTTATTTAATTGAAGTTGTAATCTGTGTAGGCCCTTGGAGGAATAAATTCTGCATGGAGAACTCCTATGTAAACCGAAAGTGCTTTTATTTTAGTAAATCTTACTGAATTCCTGTATAAATATGATATTTGTCAAGTGTTTATTTAAAATCTGCTGGAGTATTCAGTAAAGTAAAAGTTGTAATGCATAATTCCAGGACTTGTTGTGGTCATTGGTATTGCCAGGATACCAATTACTCGTTTTATGCAGCCGAAATACACAAATCTCGCTTTATTGAGGAAACACTATAATGCCTGCAAAATTATTGCGTCAGTTAATGAGTTTCATAAATTCTACAGAATATTTTCTGTTCAGTGATCACTGTTTGCGAATTATCCGAGAAAACACATTTCCAATTGGGATGTAACACAAGGCTGAATTCTTAAACTATCATCCTTATATCATTTCAATCCAATCACACATATATCAGTAGGATAGTCTATAAATGACTTTAGAGACTTATCATCATCAACTTACAGTTTGCTGATGATACTGTACATCTAGACTATGAGAAGTAATATGAAAAGAATACCGGTGTTTGATTATAGGTGTCTGTGTTCTATCTCATGAGTAAAGCAGTATAATATGGCGATTGCTGTTGAGGTTACGAATAAAGTGTTAGGTGAGGAGGGTAAGTTAGTCTTCAAGGTAGGGAAGCTGAATAGGTTGAGGTGGCTATAACACGTGATGGCATACCAAGCCATCGCCTTCCTCGAGGGATAATGTTAGCCAGCACATGTTAGGTTCAAAATGTGTTTGGGTCGGTCAAATGAAAAACTGGTATTGGTTCATAAAATCGTTGACATTCAGCTAGAAGAACTACTAGATATATGTCTGCAAGTCTTTGTTTACGGCACAGATGCATTCACTCCGTGTAATCTCAGGTATCTATTCAACTCATGTTGTCTCTATTTATTCTCCCTCAAATTTTCGCTCGTTAAACTTCCATTTAGTTTTATGTCTCTACCTTTGTGTGGTGCATGGAATGTGGTAAACTAAACAGTTGGACTTCTTTGCGAAGTCATACTGAAAGCCAGGCAGAATGACACAGACCAGGCATAACTAAATGCGAAACACTGAATAATGATCTCCAGAATGTCAACAAATGATAGGTGTAGTTCTGAATCTGGTTCTTTGCTAACTGAAAAATAGATACCTTTCAGTGATCTCTTCCTCCATCCGGGACTCGTCTCCCACTTTGCAAGTGTTTTTGTGCTTTATCACTTTTGTGCTAAGCTTTAAGTTATTCAGCATATGCCGTTATTGACTAAGCATTATCATTTCCCAAATGGAATGCAGCATACTGTATATTAAGGTAAATCTTCCGCCTTGCTTGGTGAAGGTAGTGTTCCTCAGGGTACTGTTATCTCTCCTTTTCTTTTTTCTCTCTCGTCTTACATGACACTCCTCTTTCCAATGAGAGCAACTTCGTCAAATACGCTGGTGATCTGACCGTCTCACTTCCTGTCATGTCACAATGTCCAGATAAAGTGCACTGAAGAGAACATTAACCAAAAGTCAGTAACACGGACATAAGAATTGGTGTAAATAGAAGTGAATGAGATGGGTGATTTTTTTAAACCTGTAGCACGCCTAACTAAAATACTCATGTATGTGAATGAAGCTGTACCGTTCACAAGATGCTTGTATCAAAGAGGGCACTGAAACATAAACTAAGTCTAACATGAAATACCTTAGAGTTGTTATATCCTCTGGTCTTTCTTGGTAACTCCATATCTTGTCGATTTCTGTTATGTAATCTTTACAACTGTTTCGAATATTACTTCATAAAATTAGATGTGATAATTTACGAGATGCTGCAAATTCAACGCTGTAACATTAATACTGTTTTCGGACAAAGCGAATTATTGTTACTGTTGCACCTCGCTGCAGTGTTAATCTGCTTATACCATTGTTATTGCCGTTTCCTAAGTATTGCACTAATTTTCTCATTTCCTTGCACTGTGTAAATAGGGTGCAACGAAGAAGTAACAGTGAACTATAGGTAAGTAAGTAAAATTTGCGACAGATCCATCGATCTTTTGTGTGGTGCAAATTAAGTCATTTAAATATTCGCTTGTTATTCGTGGGAAATCCAAAACTAGATCGTTCTACAAAGTGTATAGACTGTAACAGTGCTTGCTAAACAATTCACATATCGCCTTGACACCTCAAGCAATGCCGTCTAAATATATCACTTTTAGATTGTCTTTTTTGTTGTTAACCTACATTTGAAAAGTTTGTCTATTTCTCTTGGTTCATGAGGTGGCTAACTAGGCCGTAATTACTGACAGTATGCATCTGTAAACCTCAGGGGGAAGCCTTTGAGTAATTAACATTCTATATTCACCTATACTTGACTGTTGAATAAATCTTCGAATTAGATTCTTTTATTCAACTCCACTTGTGATGAAATCGACTTGGCTACCATGGACGCAAAATAGTATTCATGGTTCAGGAGAGTTGACATCCTATTTGTGAAGCGGCACCGCCTTTATCTACTGGGTATTAGGGCGTCTCAGTAAATAGGCCAAAATATACCGGCATTATTTCATGAAAATCCAGTAGTATACGTTGAACTTTTAGACCTATCACTTCCTTTAATCCATTACACTGCGAAGATATCAGCAACAAGCAACATTTTCTGATAAAAGTGCAGCAAATGTAACGCAGTTCAAGAACATAATAGCACTGTTAGTATGTACTCCGGATAAAAATTTTTGATGCAGAATTTCATTTAAAAAGCATACGAATTACATAACTTTCCATTAACCCACCGTAGCAACGGATTACGACGCTACAATTAGCGAGGGTATGCATTAAATCCAATCGATTTAATTTTTCTATAAAATTATTGATTTATGGACATGCCATTATAATAATGTATATTTTCATATAAACATAAATTTACATGGAAATGCATGCCATTTTTACAGGCACGATCAAGTATGATATAATTTCAAATAGTAGATTGTCTACAACTCAATAATGTTTCAACAGCTAAATATTTGATATATATATATAAATACACTCACTGTCTGACCTAGGCCGCATCATTAACAAATTGAACAGTAGTCCTCCAGGTTGCGCGGGAAAATCGACTTCGTTTCCTTTTCAACCCGTGTTTGTAGGCATACGATAACCAACCGATATTCAGGTAAGTACAACGTTTACAAGGGGTAGTAAGCTGTTTTAGAAAAGTAAAGGTGCTAAGGTGAATCATTAAAGTGCAATCAAATAGGTAAATGCAATGTATCACTAATAGATGCATTCATAAAGGAAATACAATGGGAGACCATAATCCCTAGGCTGACAAAGTTCATTTGCAATGTATAATGCTACCCATATAGGTCTTACTATTATGATAATAATAATAGTATATTCTCATTTTTAACATGAGGGACGCCAGTTTACAGGCATCATCAATATGATAAATTACATATACGATTAGTAAGCATATTTAATAAAAGTAATTTAATAAAATACATTTTTTCCTACCTGTGTAGGACACACCAATTGTACAGGCATAGATAAGTATTATTTAAATTACATAAATTTGGTTCATGGTAAAATTATAAGGTTGCATTCATTTGTCCATGGGAACAATATGATAACTAGTCATTCAATGGAGCACATCAAGAAATATAGAAATATTGTCTTCGCATTAACAAAAAACCCAAGTATGTTTTGGATGGATTACAAATACTTGGGAAAAAATAAAGCTTGAAGTAATTCCTCCATATAACGTTGGCGTGTACGGAATCGAGTCTTATTCTTGATTTATATCCAAATTTGATAATAATTTAAAATAAGTAATACACTTGTATACTTTTGTCAGCATTTTCATCGTAACATCATAAGTGAATTGTACACAATGTATACTAATAATAATGATATTTTATATTTTCTTATAAACGGGTATTTTCAAGAAATGCAAGCTATTTTTTCAGATACGATCAAATATGTTGTAAATTACAATCGTGAAGTATTATAAATCAATAATTTTTGCAAATCATTTGTCATTGAAAATGGTCAAATATCCACATTCTTCATTCTCATTCAAAAAGTCAAATGGAAGCTAAAATGGTGAGAAAAATAAGACAAACAACAGCAACGCAAAAGAAAGCAAGTGGAGTCATCAAGGAGTGAATAATATATATACATTTATATTCTGTTTAGTAACTATGGTTATTTTGGTGCACTAACTAACTAGTCCCGTTATGCTAACCTTTATATTGTGTGAACTAATATTATTGTCCTGTGTAAAAATGTCTATCATGTACTTCCAATAATATAAAAATGTATAATTGTAGTTTGTTGTAACTACACGTTTAATGAACTTAAAATATCTATGTTGGACGAAAAAGTGGGCCTAGGATTCAGACGCAGAAGTGCATTGTCATCTTTGAGCAGTCTGGTGACTGAGGAGATGAACACTGCGAGTGTGTTTGCATCACGCACATCAGCTGGTAGTCTATTCCAAATGACTGAAAACTTATTTAAGAAGAAGTTGTACCGCATGTAAGTCTGACAATGCTCTATAGCAGCTAGGTTGTGATGATTTCTAAGATTGTAACTGATGACAGCGGTAGGTTTAATTATTGGCTCGGAGGAGTGCACGAGCAGATTAGTTAGCTTGTAGTAAAAAATTAGGTTCAGCTTGAGACGTATTTTCCAGAGTGGTTCTAAACTTAGTCTGTCGCAACGTTCATAGTATTGGAGACCACTTTCTAAACCAAGAATTTTTAAGGTGAATTGCCGTTGCACTCCTTCTAACTTAAGCTTGTCATTTTGTCTGAGTCCGCTAAGAATAAACGGGCAGTATTCTAAAATAGGTCGGACACATACTTTATATAATAAAAGCCTAGTTTCACAAGAAAAGAAATTGCGAGTTATGCATCCTAGTAGCCTTCGTGTTTTACGTCTGGCATAATCAGTTTGTTCAGAGAACGTTAAGTTACTAGAGTATCTGATGCCGAGATCTACGACTGAGTTGAGCTTGGCTAGTTTACGCCCATTTATTTCAAGATTCAGGTCAAGGTTACTGTTGCCGATACAAATCCAGCCGCATTTATCAATGTTGAACTTTAGACAGGATTCAGTACACCATGTTGCGAGACCACTTAGTTCAAGATGTATTTTAGTTACCATATCGCTTAGTTCATGAGCGTAGCAGGAGTAAACGACTTTGAGGTCGTCAGCATATAAGAATGATTTACCTGAGGTGAAGCAGTTGCAAATGCTGTTAATGTATACTGTAAATAAAAGTGGACCTAGGACACTACCTTGCACAACCCCACTTGTGATCTGCCTAGGATGAGACAATACAGATCCAACCTTGGTTATTTGTACCCTATTGCTTAGAAAGGATTTTAACCAGCTCAGTAATGGATTGCGAATCCCACATGAATACAGCTTCTCAAAGAGAATACTGTGAGACACCTAAATGTATACTTCAGAAAAGCAGTAGTTATTATTAAGCCCTCGCTTTTCTTCTACATAGTTCACGCACTTTGACTTTTGTGTTTAACTCATATTCAACCTATATAAGTAGGTAAAATTATCATCTTTTTTCACTCAAACGTTTTTTCTTTTCGCAAGAAAGACTAGAATTCCATCACTAGAGAATCTCAGGGGGAAATAGTATTTTTTTAATGAAAAAAACAACAACAAAAATGATGAACCCCATGTTTGTTATATATATTTTGAATATTTAACACCTATTATATACCTCTGCGCCTCTCTGGCGGTTTTCTTGTGTCTTCTTCTCTTTTCAAAGGTACTGCATTAAACGAAGGCACTGAAACAGTGCCGCTATCCTCAACCAATTCGGTATATTGCTAGCCCACCTAGTGAATAACGGAACCACCTCTATCATGAAATCTGCTGACAAGTTCAAAGTTGGTCTCATATACAACTGGAAATGTCACAATTATGGTGTACTTACCGGTGACTTTGAAGTTTTATGGACTTTCAAACACTCTATGAATCATTTACTTACAATTACTGTTCATTCCGCATCTCTTATATTTCACGTCAGCACCTGTACAAAAAATGCTACTTACCTTCCACAATTAACGTAATCGTTTGTAATTCCCGCGTGAAATTGACATACCGTATTTTTTTCAATAACAGTTTTGATTTGATGCTATATCTCATGAATTATTCAGTTGAAAGCATATCTCGAAAATTACCTATTGCCTTATTTGTACATTTCTTTTAAAATATTTCTCTCAAAATTACCAGTATTCAATCTATTTCTAGATTAACAAATCGTATATATTCTATAAGTTCTAATTAGTGTACATTTGTTCATGCCTGTAAAACTGGCTGGTTTCTGTTCCAGAAATAAAAATTATTATTATTATAGATACCATGTCAAATGCCCTAGATATATCGAAGTAGAGAACAACAACTGGCTTACGTGCTTCGCGACTACTAGTGATGCAGTTGAAAAAGTCGAAGTGGCAAGTAACGCAAGACCTATTTTTGAGAAATCCATGTTGAAACCTTGTAACAAGATCTTCCTTAAGTAGATAGTCTGACAGTTGATCTTTGACAACTTTCTCCATGACTCGCGAGACAACCGGGGTTATATTTATAGGCCTGTGATTGCGGACGTTTGCCTTATCACCGGATTTATAGTGTGGAATTATGAAGCTAGTTTTCCACTCATTAGGGTAAGTGCCAGTGTCCATAGATATTGAGAAGAATTTAAGAAGTAGTAGGGGTATATCACACCCACTGTTTTTGAGAATTATAGAAGCAAGGCCATCTGGTCCCGTGCTAGTGGAAGGTTTCAAGCTTTTAACTGCCTGTTCTATTAATTGGTCGGTGAACACTATGCTTCCGAGGAAAGAGCTAGTAAGGGGGCCGGTGTCACCAGGAATGCGCGTTTCTAAACTGAAGTTTGTAAACCACTCACTGAATATTTCACAGATGGTGGCAGGCACATTGTAGATAACTTTGTCATGAAGTAAATAGGGGATGTCCCTCGTTGACTGCATTCGTTTTTTAAGAAGTGTTGTTAAGTTATAAACTTTGGAGGTGCTTTCAAGTGCCCTTAATTCTTCGTCGAGGTCCTTTTGAGAGCGTTGGCGCTTGATAGATTCAAGAGACTCATGGATTGAGTGCAGTAGTGATATATCCTTAGTGGAATAGTACTGTTTCTTTAACTTCCCTAACTTATTGCGGCAGGCCCTCGGAATGAATTCAGCTTGGTGTCTACTTAATTTCACTACCTTCTTAGGAGCAACAGTATCTAGACAAAGGATAACATTCCTGTAAAATAGGGACACTACAGCCTCCAGGGAGTCAGTGGTAAAATATTCATCCCAGTGACAGAGTCGAATGAATTCTTGGACTAATCCCCAGTCTGTATGTTTGTAACTACGACAAATCAAACTCCCTGAATCCTGTTTGTTTCCTGTATTTAGTGGTGAGAAAGGCAGAGAGCAGAGTACCATTCTATGGTCACTACTGGAAAATCTGTTACCAACATAGGTGGAGACTGGGATCCCTTATTTTAGCTGGCCTTTTCCAATCAATTCTTCTTGAGAAATAGATTTTTACATCTTTGGTATCTGTTAACTAAGCTCACAAGTGCATTCTATTATCAACACAGATTGTGCTATGAAGAACATCTGCGTATTTTCCCTCCTAGTTCTAGTTCGATTGATTATTTTTCCATGAATTTACCGTAGAAAATTAATGTCTGTGAACAGTGGAATAGATCAAATTAATTATAATTACATTTCTATAGTTTACACACGAAGACAAGTTTATTTTGGCAATTAAAAAACAGTTTCATCATTTGGTGTCATCAGATAGTAATTTTCCTCAAAATATTGCCGAAATAGAAAAAACAACATCATTACGTGTTAGCAGATCGCAGATATAAAATTAAAGCGTATCTCTTCAAAGTCGTTAACCAAGCACTACAGTCTAAACTATGTGCCATAGATGAAATCAGCTTCATTCATATGAGCAACCAACTAGCTGACTGCATTTTCGAATTCCCGTTTTATTCAGTCAAAAACCATACCTTTGTAGTTACGAAGGGCATAATAAGAAAGGAATCCGTTTAATAAGCAGTCTGTGAGCCACTCAGAAGCAATAATAATTTATATTTCTTGTAAACTGAAGTATCATAAATTATTAGTTTTTCAAAATTTAAATTGTTCAGTTATTGTATGAGCAATGAGAACTGGTCCTTATAAATTTTAAATTGCACACCATTCACTAAGTTCACCATCAAAGTTGAGCGACAACCCGAACTTCGTTCCACTTTCTGCTGATAGTTATGGTCAACCAGCGAACAGCCTATATTTATGTAAGCACTATGCCACCACGTGATTAAAAGCTATTTCTGGTGAACAAGGTCGTCCTGTGAAACTGCGAAATGGCATAAAATACAATTAGGGATAATACATCATTCAACGTACATCTATAAGACATATACAATATATATTTCCTATCTATGCAGGACACACCAGTTGTACAGGCATGGATAAGTATTATTTAAATTACATGAATTTGATTTATAGTGAAATTACATGGTTGCTGTCCTCTCTGATATCACTTAGTGAGTACATTCTGATAGTTAGTCGTTCAATGGATCACATAAAGAAATATAGAAATATTGTCTTCGCATTAACAAAAAAACCCAAGTATGTGTCGGATAAATTACAAATATTTGGGAAAAAAATAAAGCTTGAAGTCAACTCCTCCATATAACTTTGTTGTGTGCGGCATCGTATCTTGTTTTATGTTCAAATTGGGTATTAATTTAAAATGAGTGATTAATTTTTGTGATTTTGACATCATTTTTTTGCAAGTAATACCAGATGTGAATTCAATTGAATGCAGATTAATATTGGTCAATTTCAAGCAGATTTGTTTTACTGCACTCAAGTCACCCATAGCCCGCCATTTGTCACAGCATGGTTGTTCTGTACGAGGAAGTTGATAGACACGTGGAATGCTATATAAAAACCATTTTAGATCGTTGACAGTGCTTGTATAAGATGCTGTACAGCGTCTAGTTATGGTGACAGTGGATTTCATCAAGGATGCTGAGCCATTACTAGCCAAACCTTGAGGGATAATATATGAGTAAGTGACTTCAATTGTTTCTCAGCTTCAGTCGGAATGTAGATCAATGCAACTTGTACTACAAGGGAAATACAACAGAAATGTACCAGAGGGCAGAGCAAAAGTACGTGGATTCCAGAATATTTGTTTATATTCGTTGTACATTGTAGTTTGATGAACAAATATTTATTTCTACTAAGTCTTTTTATGCATTTATGCCACTAGTTTGTTTATAGTCTTTAGAGAATTAAGGGTGTTTAAGCGCGTTTAGGTGCTGTAGTAGACTAATAGTTGATTCTTTCTAGGAATAAATAGTTTATTTATATAATCAGTAGAGTGAAATAGTGTGTACAGAGAGCGTTTGAAACATAAAACTGTATTGCAGTTCCTGACATCTAGGGGCAGATTGTTCCATATTTTAGAATACATGTCTATGAAGAAGTTTTCGCGGAGTGTTGACTTAAAGGCTTTTATTGTCACTGTGCAATTGTGGTTACGCAGATCGTAAGAGCCTTCTTGTGCGAATTGTATGTCCTTACTGTCTGAGAATGATATTTTGTGTAGGACCTTATAGAAGAATACTAGGTTTATAATTAGTCGTCTTGTCCAGAGTGGGTCAAGTTGTAGAATCATGCACCGTGAGATGTAGTCTTTCTTACATTCGTAGCCAAGTAGTTTTGAGGTAAAATATCGTTGGATACTTTCTATTCTTAGCTGTTCGCGTGTGTGAGTGCTGCTAATAATAAATGGACAGTATTCTAGTAGTGGCCTCACACAGGTTTTGTACAGAATTGGCTTGGCTTCATTATCGTGAAAGTTCCTGAGTATGCATCCTAAGAGCATCCTCGACTTTTGAGTCTGTGAAGGAGGCGGAGATTCCTTTGAACGATAATATACATTTGCAATGTTTAATGCCAACCATACTGGTCTAAGCATGAAACTATGATGTTTCCGAAGGAAATATAGCTTTGTTCAAACATTGGTGTTGTTGTGTTTTTATTGAAAGTGTAGCGGTAAATAATTCCCCAAAATTATTAACCACAGCAATCATCACTCAACATTGGATGCTGACCATCACTGTTTAAGTCGACTTGTTTAGCTGAAGGCTTACGGTCAAGCATCCCCGCCATTTGGTGCTCCGTCGTGTCACGTGCGTGCACGATTACTAGCTAGCTAAGCATTCATTCCTACCCGCGATTTGGTCCCAAAATATATATCGTATTTGGACGACAAAATCTGGTCTTTTGCTTTACCATTTGGTACTCGAAGAACGAACACTATAGTGGTTGTTGGTATAAGATCTTGCGTTAGTATAATCCGTACAACTCGCGAACGTTCGATACCTACTGCCCTCTAAACTGGTGAGCCCTACCACGAACTACAT